AGGCGGGTCTCGAACCCGCGGGCTCAGGCAATCCACTCACCTCAGCCTCCCAAAGAGCAGGATTACAGGCTGAGCCGCTGAGCCTGGCTCAATTAAGTATTTTTGAATACCCAGATAGGACTTGTCAATTCTTATTCTGCCAGAGAGAAGCAAAAATCACTTAGAAAAAGCCATAGGCAATTCTGCGTCTCGCTCTCACACCGGATCTAACTTGAGCTGAAACCATCCTGTGGCTCTCGCTCGCTGTCTCTCCCCCTCTTTCCAGCCCAGTCGACTCTCACGAGGGCCCATGCGTGGCTGTCTGGCCAACCCCCACAGGCTGCCAGAGTCCCTGAACCCACTTCAGGCCCCAGGGCTGCCCGGTATGAGCACCGAGGCCTCCCCGGCAGGGGCCTCCCCATGCCCGCCTCGTGAGGCACCAGCATACCTGGGGGGCTTCTACCCCAATCGCTCGCAGGGCAGACTTGAAAAACTCCGGAGAAGGTTTCCCCACCACCTCGGCCTTGATGCCACAGGCATACTGTGAAAAGAGGAGGACATGGCATGGCTTTGGGATCAAGGAACAGATGCAGGCCTGACCGAGGAAAGACTGTCCCAAACGCGCCCCCAAGGGTCAGGGACCTTGAAGCGGCAGGACCCTATGGGCCTGAGAAACACAGCACATACGCAAAAGCCTCACCACTCTACAACAGGCTGCTGGGGACCACCAGATGCCCTGTCACCCATCAAAGGGCCCCCTCAGCAGGAGGCATCCAAGAGCTGGCAGGGCCACCAGCCTTCCTGAGGGCCAGGAGACCAGTGCTCTCGTAGGCTCGCTCGGCTGTAAGTCCATTCTTTTGTCTCTTCTTCCTGCCCTTTCTCCCTTGCCCACTCCCATCCTTCACAAGGCCTCCTGGTTGAGATCCAGGGCTCCATCCGTCACCTGCCCTCCCTCCCGCCTCAGTGCAGGCAGCAGGAGCTGCTGCAGCTGTGAGGCTGGGATTGACATGAGGTTGACCCAGGGCAGGAGTCCGGACTGGGCCGCCGATTGGATGTGAGCCAGAGTGGACTCTGGGAAGCCCCATCTGGAGGCCTTGGGAACTGAAGGGGGAGTCAAGGAATCCAGTTAGGACACATCGAGCTTGAGGTGTCACAGGTGACTGAGTCAGGAATGAGGTGGGGGTGGGAGCATGAATACGGAAGCCTTGAGTCCAAGAGGATGGCAGCAGAGAGCATGCTGGGAGGGTTGGCAGGGTCAGTGGCAGACAGTGAGGGCTGTGCCCACTGCAGAAGACAGTGGGAGAGGAGGGCAGTGGGGGGGACCCCACTCCAGAGAAGCCTGGGGGCCTCAGGGCCTACGTGGAGGCTCTAGGGGCCATTCCTACATGAAGCACGCCCCTCCAGAAAGACCTCAAATGCCCCAGGCCCTGAGACCTGAACCCAGGCAGGTACCTCGAGTGCCTTCATGTAACCACCGACGTCCAGCATCAGGCCAGAGGTCTCCTTGTAATAGCGTCTAGAAAAAAGCAGAAGGAGACACAGGCACTGAGCCCAGGAGCCAGGTCCCGCAGGTTCCAGGGAGCCAAGCTGGAGGTGAGGGTCAGTCCGGATTCCATGCCAGGAAGAACCGATGGAAGCCAGCATAACAGAGCTCTGTGGGCTGGCCGGCCGAGAGCACGGTGAGCCAGCAGCTCGGGGGACACCCTGGAAGCCAGAACAGACCCCTGCTGCTGGACCCCGGGGCAGATGGTTCCAGTTGCTAACACAGAGGAAGACGAGAGACCTGTGTTCTGGAAAGAAACAGCCGGCCCACAGAGCATGTGGCAAGCCCCTAATTGCTAATAATTAACCCCTAATTGCTGCCTGCAGAAGAGAACTCCATTAGTTCCACAGCAGCCAGCCACGGGCCCTATTAGCCAGAGGTCAAGCGAAGTGCCAGGTTTCCTGGGCGCCAGATGCTTTTATGAGAAGACAACTGTTTCTTCCCGTCTCATGGAAGTCGAGGCAGGCTCTGCTCACAGAAGCGCTCCTTTCTCATGACAGCCTCATTGCTCTTGCGAGTGCTGCGCCGGCTCGTGGCTGGGCTGCACCAGCCTGGGCCACACCACACCGAGCCTCAAGGTACTTGCAGTCCAGACCAAGGAGGACCACACCCAGTTCTACCTGGGCAAAGCCATCTGACTACAAAAAGGGAAGAAAGTCGTTTAACCCGTGCTGCTCTGCAGACAGGATTCATTAAAACCCAAAAATAAAGCCGGACTCGGTGGCTCGGCCTGTAATCCCAGCACTTTGGGAGGCTGAGGTGAGTGGATTGCCTGAGCCTGCGGGTTCGAGACCCGCCTGGGCAACTTGGCGAGACCTCATCTCTACAATAAATCAAAAAAAAAAAATCAGCCGGGCGTGGTAGCACGCGCCTGTAGTTGCAGCTACTTGGAAGGCTGAGGCAGAAGGATCGCCAGAGCCCAGCAGGTGGAGGCTGCGGTGGCCGGGAGCGGCCACTGCACTCCAGTCTGGGCGACAGAGTGAGACTCCAACTCAAAAAAAAAACAAAAAAAAACAACCCAAAAGTTAAGAAAGGGAGTTGATTTTTAGAATTACTAAAACGTTTGGCAAAGCATCCCATCAGTGTCCTCCTCCTCTCGCTGCGCCCTTCAGATTTGGGAAGCACTGAGAAAGCGTATATGTAGAGAGCAAGAGAATGGCGAGATGCCAAGTTCAGAACTCAAATCCTCTCTGCTTTCTGACGGCAGGACTTCTCATTGCTTAAGCCTTCTGGGCTCAGTTTCCTCATCTGTAAAATGGGCAGAATGAACAAACAGGACCTGCCTCGTGGATTGTTATGAAGACAAAATGTGTGCCAAGTTCCTCACACAATGTCTAGTATGCAGAAACTGCTAAGACTGGAGAGTGTTATTATAAATAACTGTTCACCTAGGCTGAGACATAGGCAATAAGACAAGAACTGGGGCAAAGAAAAAGTGAACACAAATCATCTCAATCGGAGGGGTTGAGAAGTAGAACTGACTGCGAGCATCCCCAGAGCTGTGCCCCGCCTCCAGTTCTGCTGTTCTCGGAGACTCCACCTGTCCTTTTCTGTGAGAGCCTGTGCCACCAGCTTAGCCACTCGTGCCCTCACCCCCCCTCCCCACATTATCCACCGCCCTCCTCAGGAGTTTCTGGGCTGGACACAGGCTGGGCCACAGGGCCTCAGCCAGACTTGGTCTTGCCAGGGCCTGGCCTCCTGGCATTCCCCTGTCAGGAAGCTCAGGGCCTGCAGTCTGTTGGTCGAAGGTCTCGGCATCTGTTGTGATAGGACTCGGGAGTCTCCAAGTGAACCCCAGGCCTGTTCCTCTGTCTCTGAGGCTCTAATACCCTGGGACCACACCACAAGGATGCAGGCCAGCTGGGACACTGACATGTTCAAGGAGTGGAGGCCTGCGAGTGCCCTTCCTTTTAAAGAGTGACCCCCAAACCTGGGCTTAGAGATCCCCAATTGCATGGCTTAAGTCCAGAATCAGACACATTTTGCATAAAGATCGCCTCAATAAAGTGTTTCCTTTTATTTTCCACACTTAGACAAAAAACTACTTTGGTGTGACAATTTCCTTAGCTGGGCCCAGAGTGAATGCAAAGGGTAGCCGAGAAGGGGACGTGAGCCCAGCGGTGTGTGCTGGCTGGTGCTGCAGCTGACACACGTGAACTTGTCCCCACAGACACTGACAGGGGGGCAGCTGCTCCACGGGCCCTTAGCATGACGGGGGCACTCCTAGACCCAGGCCTGCTTCCCAGGGACACAGACAAGCCCACAGACGCATATCCACGGGTAGGACACGGGTGACGCTAGGGGAATTCCAAACTCTGGAGCACTTGGCTTGAGCAGGGAGGGGACACCCTGGGGAGGGGCAGACAGCAGAAGTGTCCCATACAGCCGAGACCTCAAGGGTGAGAGGTTACCCAGCTAACAGGAAAGGAGGGGGAGAAAAAGCCCCTGGAGCGTCTCGGAGTCACCCAGCGGGCCATGCTGACCTAGGGCAAAGCCCTTCAACGGGCCCTCAGAGGCCATGGCCTCGTCCCTCATGCATGTGTGAAAGGGGGAGAAGACAGGCACTGAGGGGGACAGAGAGGACCTCCCTAAGGAAGTGATATGTAGAAGTGAGAAGAGAATGTGCCAGCACAGGAAATGCTTACCTGGAAACACAAAAGAAATCTAAAACCAAAAGCTGGGTGTGGTGACTGATGCCCGTAATCCCAGCACTTTGGGAGGTAGAGGCAAGAGGACTGCCTGAGCCCAAGGGTTCGAGACCAGCCTGGGCAACACGGCAAGACCTCGTCTCTACAATAAATCAAAAACTTAGCCAGGCATGGTGGTGCACACTTGTAGTTCCACTAACTTGGAAGGCTGAGGCAGAAAGATCACCTGAGCCTAGAAGGTCAAGGCTGCGATAGCTGTGAATGTGCCACCGCACTCCAGCCTGGGCGACAGAGTGACACCCTGACTAAAAAAAAAAAAAAAAATTCTAAAACCAAAACCACCCCATTGCGACAGGTACAGGTCTGTTTAGAGCTGAGGATTCTGGGCTTCTAGGTCCACATCTCTGTCTTTCAGCTGCCCTGGGACAGGAGGAGACGGGCACCAGGTGAACTCTACCAAGCAGCTCTCATCTGTAAGAACCTCCCAAGGAGACCCATGTAGAAGCATTTCTGCAGGCCTCATGTTTCCTGGAGTCTCTTGTATAGTGAAATAATCTTTCTTTCTTTTTTAGAGGCAGGGTCTCCCTCTGTCACCCAGGCTAGAGTACAGTTACATAATCATAACTCACTGTAACCTCAACCTCCTGGTTTCAAGGGATCCCCTTGCCTCAGCCTCCCAAGAAGCTGGGACTACAGGCACATGACACAATGCCCAACTGATTATCTAAAAATTTTCTGTAGATACAGGGTCCCACTGTGTTGCCCAGGCTGGTCTTGAACTCCTGGCCTTAAGCGATCCTCTGTCTTGGCCTCCCAAAGTGCTGGGATTACAGACATGAGCCACCACGCCTGATCAAAACCTGAATTTTCTTGAGTTTAAATTTAGTCCTGGATTGGAGGAAAAAACTGAATGTGCAACTTAAAATACACAATCAAAACCTCGTCTTTGCTATGCCAATTTATAGAGTCCAAAGAGAACACCAACTTTTAGAAATCAAAATGAGAAACTTTAATATTTCTTTTTTTAACTGATCTGGGCTTGTATTATTATTATTATTATTTATTTATTTATTTATTTATTTTAGTTGGAGTCTCACTCTTGTCCAGGCTGGAGTGCAGTGGCACAATCAAGGCTCACTACAGCCTTGACCTCCTGGGCTTGGACAATCCTACTGCCTCAGTCTCCTGAGTAATTGACACTACAGGCATACACCACGACATCTAGCTAATTCTTTTTATTTTTTGTAAAGATAAGGCCTCACTGTGTTGCCCAGGTTGGTCCTGAAATCCTGGGCTCAAGCAACCCTTTCGCCTCAGCCTCCTAAAGTGCTGGGATTACAGTGGGATGTAAGTCACTATGCCTGACATAGGCTTGTTTCTTTTTCTTTTTTTTTTTTTAATGAGTTGGAGTCTCACTCTGTCACCCAGACTGGAGTGCAGTGGCCACTCCCGGCCACCACAGCCTTGACCTGCTGGGCTCAGGCAATCCTTCCACCTCAGCCTTCCAAGTAGCCGGAACTACAGGCCCGTGCTACCACACCCAGCTAATTTTTGATTTATTGTAGAGACGAGGCCTCACCAAGTTGCCCGGGCGGGTCTTGAACCCACAGACTCAAGCAATCCACTTGCCTCAGCCTCCCAAAGTGTTGGGATTACAGGCTGAGCCACCAAGCCCGGTCAGGCTTGTTTCTATAGTGTCCAGAATTTTTCTTTATTTCTTATTTATTCAGGAAAACAAAAAGCCATCTTGAGGCCAACTGTTACCTGAAAACATTTTTTAGAGATACAGTAAATACAAGTACTTAAGCTGAGCTCGGTGGCTCAGCCTGTAATCCCATACCTTTGGGAGGCTGAGGTGAGTGGATTGCCTG